CTGTATGTGCGTTATAATTAATCGAAATTAATCGATTACATTTTTTTCGATTAATCGAACACGAAAATTTTAATCAGTAACAGCCCTATAATAAAGTATTATTATTGTTTTAACCACTATAAGCATTTCCATTATGCCTTTCCTTCCTTTTCTATCAGGTGCATTCATCATGTTTCATTCATGCTTAGGATACAAATTCTTATTTATTAAAAAAATTATTAATAAACAAAAAGGCAAATGCATCACAAAAGGTCTTTTTAAAAAACTCAGTTCAATAAAAAATTTTTTAGCGCTATACAGGTATGTATATGAGCATGAAGGCCAACCTGCACATCAATCTTAAACTTTTGTTGGCCCACAGGTATGATTATGTGCAATTTGCCCCATACTCCTCACCAAATATGTCCATGTGTAGCAGTGGTAGACACGGTAACAAAAACATTTTTTTTGGCCCCTGTTCAACTTCTGCCCAGCTACAGACACTGTCCATAATCTAGTGTCAGACAAGGAACTAGGTATCATTAGATGACTTCATGTCCATTCCAAATTACATCAAGAGGAAATGGGAGATACATTCAGTCTCAGTTTGGTCATGTAGGGAATGAAGGAGGTGCTCACTGCTTGACACCACTTCGATTTTGCAAATCAGGGGTATGGCTAGAGCATCATGATGAATGCCTTCTGCTTCTCTCCTGCCTTCAAGTGAAGATAGGTTCTGCAGAGGAGATGACCATTAAAACAACATAAATGTGCTCAAAGTCAATCTTCATGTGCTAATACGGCCATGTGCATGGAGACTAATAACAAAAACATTGGAAAAATGGTTGTTATTATTATTCGTGTTCATGTCTGGCGATCATCAGATACATTTTCTGTACTTGCAGGGTCTTCAAATGGATAAAACATGAGAACATGTGCATGTATGCAGAGATGGACTGCATATGTTTTCATTTTGCCCTGACATATGTTTTAATTAGGGAAGCATCGATACAGTTTTTTCGGTATCGAGTGTGAGTACCAATACTTTGCTTTCGGTACTCGCTGATACCGATGACCGATACCGATGCTTCAGCTGGCGAGGACCCAGCTTCCCTGGGAATCAGGAAGCCGGCTGCATATTGTTTGGCTGGCTTGATTGTGATTGGCCGGGAAACCGGCTTCCTGGCCAAGCAAAAAGCCGGGGGCGGTGAGTAATGACCCGCCGCCCGGCTTCCTGATTGGCTGGGAAGCCAGCTTTCCAGCCAATCAACATCGAGCCAACCGAACAGCCGCCTCCTTGCTGATTGGTTGAACAGCTGACTCATCACTGATTGGCCGGGAAGCCGGCTCCATCCTGATTGGCTGGGAAGCGAGGAGTCGGTTATTCAACCAATCAGTGAGACGGGTCGTTACATGCCACACGGCTTGCTGATTGCCCGGGAAGCCGGCTCCATGTTCCCCTACGGCACTGCCGGTCAGAGGAAATCTCCCTCTGACCAGAAATTCCGGTATCAGAGGTAAGTATCGGAGCATTTGGGCGAGTACTAGTATCAGTATCGGTGCATCTCTAGTTTTAATGTTAAGGTGAAGAGAGGTTTGGGTCCGGTGTGAAGCATGGGTCGAGGATCTAAAAAGCAGCACAGGGATACAGAAATCAATATATTATTTTCCTGCTCTCTAGCACTGTTTTTACCTTATGCACTTTCTAGGCGTGGTTGGGTTCACACTGTTGGCCTGATACTCTCAGAGAAACGTGAATATAGTCACGGCTCTGTGTCCTAGCTATTCAAATTACCCCCATGACATTTGTTTAAGTATTACACTAAAAATAGATCATAGGTGTTCTCTGACCTACCTGAAACTCTTATTTCAGCTATTTAAGTAGCGTCTGCCAAAGTGCCTATTTTGTAAGGACGGATACCCTAAATGTAAAACATAAGAATTTGAGAGTACGGTAATAAATATTAGCATGTATAGTATCACGCTCTACTTGTACTTGCAGAGAAGGATGTTATTAACCATGGGCAAAAGTGAGAGCTTTCATTTTCCCAAAAGTTCTACACAAACAAGGAGATTGTGGCAAAAATTTGCCATTTTGGCGAAATGCAATGTAGTCCATTAGAAAGGCAACATTAAGGTGTTTTTTTTAAGGATATAGCAGGCTTTAAATAGCTCCTGAGTGTTATGGAAGATCCTTTCAATCATTCTTGACCTGTTCTTGTGCCAAAAAACGGCCCCTCCATGGCTTCCGTATTGTTTCCATATTTTACAGAAAGGAAAAAACCACTAGCGGAAAAAGTACAATACAAAAGTTAAAGCAACAGTACAAAAAAAGAAAAAAACACAACTATGATGAACATGGAATAAATTAAAGTACCCTAAAAAAAGAAGGAAAAAAAAGGAAGGGTAGAGGGAGATTGGGGTTTTGTTTTGAAGCAAATTTCGCCTAAGTAGCTAAATGAGCGAAATTAGATTTCAAAATGGAAGGCGGTGGGTGGAAAATCGTTGACCGTCTGTGTCCTATCAGATGCTGTCTGCCTGAATATAACAGCTGGCATTGCAGATTCCTCCATCCGCCTTGTTTAGCTGGAAAGAGAGAAATCTACAAGTGTATGGCCTTACTGTTTGCTCACTCTTTTGATTAATCTTTACATTCAATACAATAAAAAAATATGGAAAAGCAACCATGTAAAAGTGTGACAGTCACAAGAAAAAATACTAGGGAGGAGCTTCAGGTTTGGTCCGAATTTTGCCTCTTTGGTGTTTAGCGAATGGGTGAACTACATGAAGTGTTCGTCTGCCCATCGAGCCAAACCAGAGCACAGGGGAAAGTTCTACATTTATCAGTGGTATAACTACCGCTAGTGACAGCCTCCCGCTCCTCACTGTTTGCCAGAAAGTCAGTGACCAACGGCGTCCTAGGAACCAGTGACCCTCCCATTCACCTGTTAGTTGGGAGAGCCGCCAGTTGAATGATAACAAAGGGGCGGGGATGCTGGTGGCATCATTGACTAAATATGGCCGTAGGTAGTCAATCATCACCAACAACCCGCCCCTTTGCTTACATTCAGCTGCCAGCCCAGGGAGCTGTCATTTTTGGAGAGCAGCCCTCTGGTGCGGACGTGTCAGCTGGTCTGCGTGTTTCATGTTTTGGCATAATTGATGAGGATTTCCAGCACTGTTCTCCAATAGCCGCCATAGCTGTTGAACCTGAAAGCACAGTGACATAGGCCATCGGTGTCCCAGGAAGATATTGGCTGGCAGAGAGTTGACAACGTCAGAGAAAGAGGACATCGTTAGAGCTTTGAGGTCACACAACAAAGACACTTAGACAAATGTATTCCAATGCTGACATCAGGGAATCCACATTAAACAGATATGTTGTTCTGTTGCCTTTCCTTCCACCTTGCTCAGAAGCTCTCCTCTTCTCTCTGGTGCTCCTGGCTGTGGGCAGTCCCTCGCTATCCTTACGTACAATGCAGGGCTATTGGTCCTTCATTGCAGATGGATGGAGCCTGTCGCAGCAGGGAATACGGTAAGTATTACACCTTATTCCTCTACCCCTAGGCTTAACAAGTATTTACCCCTTGCAGTGCGGCGGGACTGTCCACCGTAAGGGTCATTCTTATGTCATTCCTGAGTTGGACTTTTTGTTGTTAAATGCGAGTGTAACTACCTAAATTTGACTTCTGTCAGCCTCTTGCAGTCCCTGTTCAGCAGAGCTGAGACTGGGAGAGGGAGAAGCAGCACTAGGAGCCAATTGGGTGTGCTGTGATGCAAGGAGCATGTTGATAGGAGAGAGCAGAGTGACAAATGATCTTATCAGCCCACTTCAAACAGGGCCGGCGCTACCATATAGGCAGGTCAAGCACCTGCCTCAGGGCGCCGCTGTGGGGGGCGGAAAGATGCGAGTGGGAGGTCGCCCCTTTAAGACGGACGCGGCAGCGATCACATCTCTTTGCGCTCCCTTGCTCTCTACTCCCGGTCGTTGCAGCTTCAGAGCGGCCAGGAGGAGAGAAGAGAGGGAGCGCAGAGAGGTGTGATCAGCGCCGGTATGAAGACCCGAGCAGCGCAGGGATCCTTTTGATGATTTAGACCCGCCCCCCCCTCCCCCCTGCCAGGAAGTTCTCGTCTGCAATCCCCCCAGTTACCTTTCTCTTCTTCCTCGCAGGTGACAGTGAGGGGAGAGCAGCAGTCCTTCCTCTCAGCTGTCACAGGAGTTCTGGCACAGTGTTGTGCTGGAACTCCTGTATTGGAGGTGACAGAGTCAAGAAAGAGAACCTGCCACCTCCATATGCTCTCACACAGGGGCTTGTTAGCTCCTGTGTGATAGCAATAAAGTTAAGTGGAAAAAAAATGTAATTACATTTTTTTTTATAAAAACATTAGAAAATAAATCGAAATTATGAAAAAATAAGTAAAACATAATAATAAAAATGATAAAAAGTAAAAAAAATGCACCTTCGCCGGTGTAGGAAAAAATCCTTGCACCGGCCCTGACTTCAAATCAAAATCTAGTCTCTTGCCCGCAAGACAGGACTGTGCTGTGTTGCAAAGCTGTATACGGTATATTACCTTTGGCAGGTAAAATACAACGGGGGGAATTTATTAAAACTGGAGCAGACAGAATCTAGAGCAGTAGTCCATAATAACCAATCAGCTTCTATCTTCAATTTGTTCAGTTAAGCTTTGAAGAAGAGAAGCTTTGAAAAAGAGAGAAAAGCTGACTGGCTGTCATGGGCAATTGCTCCAGATTCTGTCTGCTCCAGTTTTGATCCATTTCACCCCCTATATATAATCTGTGTATTTTTATGTTTGCTGGGAGTTTTAGTTTAAAATACTTTGTTTCAAGATGCCGCCTCATGTCCGTATTATTATCAGACTGTAGACTTGTGTTGTCCTGCTCTTATCAGGTATGACTGTCTGTCTGCACTATCACACTGACTCGCTGAACTCCACTACACACGCAATGTACACATGTCTCATGTAACTCTGTGGAATGAACTTCCGGATCATGTGACCCTCTGTGTGTCGTGTGACCACGCCCCCTGAATACGCTCTATTAAATGTACAGGGACGGTGCCAGCCCTGGTTAAGCACTAAGCAGCTCCTGGCATAGTATAGAGGGGAGTGGAAGGTGATCAGCCAGTCGCATCTGTGATATGCAGTTCTGGGATTAGACGTCTTCTAGAAATCAGCACTTATGTAAGTATGACAAGCTGATGATCGTTTTGCCTTCATAGGAGAACACTGCAGTCAGCAGAGTCAGGTTATATGGTCCATAGAAGGCTAGGTAGAGGGCTGCAGTGTGTACTGGGGACCAGCCCATAAACATCACCCTGGACTGGAGGTCATTTATTCCTATTGGGGTGTACATTCATCATGTGTATGGTTTGTATATTTTAGAAGACAAATCTGTATTATGTTTATAGTAGAGAATGTATGAGCCCCTTTCACAGCTGAGAGTCGGCTTTTTTAGCAATTATTATTTTATTTTTTTTGCATTGTTAGACTTAAGAGTTTTTGTTTTAGCCAATGGAATACTACTTACTAGGAGAAGATGGTTGTCCACACCTGAACGCAAGGGGAATGCGCGTGCCCACCAAGGCACATGTATTGTTGTAGTGTGCAAAAATGCAAGACCAATGGGGGGGTGGGTTATTAAAACTGTGTCTCTCCTCGTCTCCCGGCCGAAAATGTGAACTGTGCATGCGCCCGCCCCAAGATGCTTTGCGGCCTTCCGAGAACTTTCACATTTTCAGACGGGAGCGCGTGGGGAAGACACATGTAAGTTTTTAAACCGCTTTGTAAAGCTGTTTTTTTTTTTAACACTTTTTGCATATATCTACTGCTTACTAGCAGTAGATGTATGCAAAAACACCGAAGGGTTTAATAACTAACCCTTTAAGCTTTGAAATTGAAAATGGAGAACCTTCTCCAGAATCTGTTTTCTCCAGTTTTAATAAATTCCCCAATAACCAATCAGCTTCTCCCTTCAGTTTGTTCAGTTAAGTTTTTAAAAAAAGGAACCTGATTGGTTGTTCTGTCTTCTCCAGTTTGATAAATTCCCCTTCCGGTGTTTTGGTGGGTCTCGTTGTATTTTTATTTTTTTAAAAGTGCATTCACGTGTATGGAGTGATTATTACACAATGGGCAGCCTGTTCATTTCAACATGCCAGATGTGCCTAAAACATGCATACCTGTGACCATGCTCTCTTACATGTGGCAGTGTGATTGAAAACTTATGCAAAAAAATGTGTGTTTTATGTGGCCAAGAATGCACAATTCTGCCTGAAAAAAGATATGTACTTTATGGCATGTATGTTTTGCGTGTTGACGCATGTTTTTCTAGCGGGGTTATTCACAAAAGGGTGAAGAGTTTGGAGAAGGGAGAGAAGTGAACAATCTAGGACAACATCGCTGATTTGGAAACATTCTCCAATTCAGCTCACTTTCCGGTTTAGCTATGTTGTCCTAGATTGTTCACTTCTCCGGCCTTCTCCAAACTCTTCACCCTTTTAGGAATAACCCTGTAGGTTTCCCCACAAGTGTATTTTTACAGCAGAGGCCTATGGGCGCATATGCACTGAGTGGCTAGATTATTATGACCACCCCATCAGTACTTCGTCGGGCCACGAGATGACCTCGTTGGGCCGCCTCGTGACTCCACGAGATGTTGAAAGGTGATGCGAGGAATCTGACACTGCATTGTGGCCCTTCTGTTGTCTTGTACCAGTCTTGCCACTCTCCGTTCTGCCCTAACATTGACTAGTCGCTGACGGCCACAATTCGCACGTTCAGACCCAGATTTTCGGCTGACAGTCCAGTCTTTAAACACTTTAACAACAGCTTTTGCTGATACTTTTGCTGATACTCGCTCCATGGCTCAGAGCGCCAACAATCATCCCACGTTCAAAGGCTGTTAAATCGCGTTGTTTACCCATATCTTCAGAAAAAATCACCGACTGTCATGGTAAACAACCTGCTTCCCTATTTACTGTATAATGGTCTGGCCCTCTAGCAACTTCAGCGCAAAATTATAGCTAATTTGCCTACAAACGTCATGTGGTCATAATAATCTGGCCACTTAGTGTATGTGACAGTGTTGAGACTCACTTGTTGTGCTGCCGCATATGCGTTAAAAGTGGTTATTCTTCAATATATAAAATTTTTGTTCTCGTGTTTTAGATGCACTTTAAATCTGACTCCTGTTTCTGAGTGTATTCTGTCTGACTACTCCAGCTAGGTAAAAGTTGACATTAATGTGGTAGCTACAGCAGTGACTTTGAAATCTACTTAATGTTTATAAAGAAGTTAAAATATTGTGGATATATTTACAATGTAGAAGAGTAAATACTGAATAACAAACAACAGATTCCTAAGAGCCCCCATTGCGTCACAATCAGTCCTGCCAAAGCGGAACTCTGTTCCATTTGGTTTTCCGAACCTGGACAGAGTTGGGGGTAAGCGAATGTAAACAGACACATGCTCAATTATATCTGGCTGGCGATAGACTTAAGGTGCCCATACACTGTACGAGAATGGAAGGCGTGCGACCGCTTCTACTGTACGATCGCACGTCTTCCGTCGACAACTGCCGAACAGGCCGGTGTGCGCACGCGCACACTGCCCGTTCTGCATTGCAGTCATCGGAAGCCCGCCCCGCTGGGCGGGCTTGCGATGATCGCAAGTACGATCTGCCTGTCCAAGATAGGCAGATCGTACGTTTTTTAAATTACTTTACAACCATTGCAAGACAAAAGTCTTGCGAGGGTTGTACAGTGTATGGCCACCTTTTAACATTGGGCTTCCAATCAGATCCACCTGAATAACTGACAAAGGGACCTGATCGGAATGCCTGTATGAAAGGGATCTAAAACAAATGTGGGTTGGGGCAGTACTTTGTGTTGTCATAATGCAACATGGCTACAGATATAAGATCAGGTAAACTTTAATTGCAATACCAAGTTTTGCGTGTATATGCTCAAATGTGCCTATACCCTTGTATATGTTGGAAAGACTATATAGGTCCCTTCAAGAGACATAGCAACATTAGCCAAAAGTGCTAAAGGAGAGGAGATTGACAAGACTAAGCCGTTTGTTGTTCATTTTGTAGAACACAGACCTCGGGTACATGAGCTGAGAGGAATGGTCATTGACCACGTGCAGGCACCCCCTAGGGGAGGTAACAGAGAAAAACAACAAGTGTTATGTAGAGAAGCATACTGGATATATACGCTTGACACTGTCATACCGAGAGGTCTTAACAGTAATCTGTACAATTGCAATCATTTATTTATATAGTGCCAACATATTCTGCAGCTCTGTACAATCATTTAGACAAGACAAGAAAGGAACACTGACAAGCATCATTGACATACAGAAACAGTAGGTGAGGAGGACCCTGCACAAACCAGTTTACAATCTGTCACTGTCTTGCTTTCTTTCTGGTAGATAAGGATGGACTCTAAACCTTCGTACCCATGGTTCACTCTTCACAGCTTGGGCGTGTAAATAGTTTTATCTGCCCTTACATATGTTACCCGACTTACATATGTTTACCCGACTGCCCGTCTTCCATCCCCCCCACAGCTACCTAATATCGCCTGTTTTTTACCTATAGTACACTGAGCATCCTTTTAGTGGTATTATGCTTTTTTGACTCGTTAACATTTATAAGAACTTATTGCCTTCATTCGTTCCTTCATTTCTTTTTTTAGCATGATTTGGGTAATGCATACTATGAAATTGCATACACACATTGGTACCTTACATATGTTTTTGGTACGCATGAGGCAATGCATTCTTTATATAATGATTACCTCTTGTCAGTCACGGCTCCCTGCAGGGATTCCCCCTCCCCTCTCTGATCCTCCAGCGCTGCGTGGAGGAACGAACGGGGGAGGGGGCGGGCATAGCTGGATCTGCTTCTAGATAGGCAGGGCCAGCTGTCACTCACGCAGCTGGGTGGATCTCAACAGTATTGTCGGGACCCGTCCTGGCTGCGGCGCTCTCAGCATATCGCGATATACTGGGCTTTGGGTTACGGGAGGAGGTTAGTATATGTCCTCCCGTAACCCTAAAGAGAACTATGGGGAATATACTGGCACCTGTGTTAACGAGAGAATCGCTGATATGTCAGCTGGTCCTTTTGTGGCAGGGCTGAAATGCAGTGGAAATGTTTTTTGGAGGATTAAGTTCATTTCCATGGCAAAGAGGGACTTTGCAATTAAATGCAGTTGATCTGATCACTCTTCATAACATTCTGGAGTACATGCAAATGGCAATCATAAAACTGAAACAGCACACTTTGTGGAAATTAATATTTGTGTCATTCTCAAAACTTTTGGCCACGACTGTACTTGTAGAATTACATCTGGCCACACAACTGGCAGGAATGTGATGGCACAATGACGTCAGGGGGACAGTCTGGCATCTGTTGATTTGGTTGTTGGGTTTATGCACTGATGTATATATTGTGAACACTACATCTGTACTTTTAGCTCTTTGTTTGCCTGATGAAGAGTTCCAAAACATTGTTTGACCTGGTGGTATGACCTGTTACACCTAATAAAAGTATTTGGTTCTGAAGAAACATTTGGAGTGCTGGTGACCATTCTCATTATCTCGGTTAGGAGTGTGGTGGGATCGCTCAATGGTCATAATGCAAGGCACTGTTTACTTTTTTTTACTTTTTTTTTTTTTTTAACTCTATTAAAATGTCGTAACATGAAATTGTTTTTCACCTCTGTGCCTTGCAGCGGAGCTCCGGTGCGGTATCAAGCGTTAACATTAGTTTGGGGATGGTGCAAAAAAAAACTGCAACCCATCTTAACGCAGCGATAAGATGGGAACAGGGCACACAGTAAGAAGTTGTTTTCTATGTTACTTAGTATTAAGCCTGCATTGATCCGTGTAGATCATCTCAGCTCAGATGATGTGGTGTAGGTGAGCCCTCGTATATTTTGTACATATTTTCGTGGCATGCAAACCTGTAAACCTTCCTCCTGCCATTTCACACCTTTTGTGTTTTAAAATAAATGCACCTACGTTTTAAAGCCCATCTCTGGGATAAAATTAACCCTCCTTCCATTCCCCTTTAGAGAAGGTGGAATGGAAGGAGATCATATTTTGCCCAAAGCATGGCTTTAAAACGGAACTCCAGCCAAAAATAACATGATACAAATGAATAGCCTATTAAAAGG